GCATTGGGCACATTGGAAGAGAAACTAATCCTGTGCCCAAGCAGCCACTCACCCCTTCAGCTCAGCACTCACTCTTCCCCCTCCCCTCTCCACACTGTTGCACTCGTCTCACCTCTCCTCTCCTTGCCCTCTCACCCCTGCACTCCCTTAACCCTCTCACCTCTCCACCCCTTGCCCTCTTCAACGCATCACCTCTCCCCTCAATAGGCTCACCTCTTCTAGTGTGGCGAACGCGGAGCAAGCAGCCTCCTGCACCCTCTTGTTGTTATCCAGAATCCGCGCCAGGAACCCCGTCAGCACCGCGTCAAACTGCTGCTGCCCCTCGGGCTTATCCACGGCCCGCGCAATCCACTTGGAGTACCGTGAGAGCGTCCAGCACGTGATGCTCCTCACGAGGGGGTGGGGGTCTTCTAGCAGCGGCAGCAGGTGCGCGATCATCTGGGGCAGCGCGGGCAGCAGCCCGTCGATGCAGCCCTCGCCCACCGCGCCCACTGCTAGAACGGATGCTTCCCGCTCCTTCCACTTGGCCTCGCTGCGATCGGCCAGGTTCGTCTGGTTGGTGAGTGAAGACAGGAGGAGAGGTCGGGGGGTTGGGGAAGGAGGGAGGGAGAACGAGGTAGGAAGGCACAGTGATGGTTAGCATCGCTGAGGGGGGAAGGGAGACAGGGAGAGGGATAACTCCAGGGAGGGCTGTTGCTGGAGAGATTTGATGAGAACGACAGGCCTGGATGAGCAGCATGAGGATGGGCAGCAGAGCGTCCCCAAAGACGTGAGAGAGGACGTCCCAGCCCAGCCGCGCTGCACTTGCTTGCAAGGATGGTACGGGTTGGGTTCTAGAGAACCTGAATCAGCAGCTGATGGGTTCAGTATTACCTGGATGAGCGGCATGAGGATGGGCAGAAGAGCGTCCCCAAAGACGTGTGAGAGGATGTCCAGCCCTGCTGCGCTGCACTGCGCAATTCCACGTGCTTGCACCTCATCATAGTCCTCCTCCGCGTCCTGGTGTTTGGGGGGGGGAGTGTGCGTGCGAGGAGAGAGAGCGGGGTAGGAGAAAACGAGGGGGTGGGTGAGCGGAGGGGGCAAGGATGTCCAGCCCTGCTGAGCTGCAGTTGTGCAGATTCCATGTGCTTGCACTCTCATCACAGTCCTCCTCCGCATCCTGTCGTGTGTGTGTGGGAGGGGAAAGGGGGGGTAAATTGTCTGGGTGTGTGGGGGTGAGAGAACAGGAGAGAGGGGGGGGGCAGGGGTTGAAACACACGATGGTCGGACAAGTTGAAAATACTGAAAGTCCACTCATCAATCAGGTACTCTCTCAGGTCAACTCCAAGTCAATTCAAGTCAGCGGGTCCATTTGTTCAGGTCAACCCAAGTCAACTCAAGTCAACCTCACCTCGCCATGGCACCATGCAGCCTGGACTGATGAAGCGCGGCTTCAGATCCTGGGAGGGGAAAGAGAGGGGAAAGGGAGGAGGAAGAGAGGAGAAAGAGAGGAAAGGGGGGAGCGACGTCCAGAAGGAGTGATGGGGGAGATGCTAAGATATTTATGAGAGGAGACTTGCAGAAGCAAGCGGCGTGGAGGAAGCGAACGGGCGTGAGTGACAGAAAAAGGAAAGAAAAACAGATTCCAGGTAGATGGATGGATGACAGACGGCGGGCGGGCGGACGGGTGGTTGGGTGGTTGGGTGGTTGGGTGGATGTGGATGGATGGATGGATGGATGATGGATGGATGGATGGATGGATGGATGATGGATGGATGGATGGGGATGGATGGATGGATGGATGGATGGATGGATGGATGGATGGATGGATGGATGGATGGATGGATGGATGGATGGATGGATGGATGGATGGATGGATGGATGGATGGGATGGATGGATGGATGGATGGATGATGGATGGATGGATGGATGGATGGATGGATGGATGATGGATGGATGGATGATGATGGATGGATGGATGGATGGATGGATGGATGGATAGAGATCAGTGGTGGGCCACAATGTGATCAGATGATTCAGATGGATCAAAACAATCATGTGATGAGGGCAACCGGCAGGCAGGAGCATGGGATGGGATGGGATGGGTGGACCCACCTGATCAGAGTCAGGAGCGTCACCCTCGTCCTGCAATTTGGGTAGGAAATTACATGCAGGGAGGAGTGTGGCAGGATGGACCAATGGGAAGGGACGGATCATGAGATAACCAATTTTGAGGCGCCCCAAAAATAAGAGCGTCACCCTGCAATTTGGGTAGACAGTTGACGGGGAGTGTGGAAGTATGGACGAATGGGGGGCTGGACGGGATCATGATTTTTGAGTCGACTCAAAAATCACTCACGAATGGGGGGACTGGATCATGAGATAAGGGAAGCGAAGCACATGATTGTGAGAATATGGCCCATGGAGGCGCAAGAAAAAAGAAAGGGGTGACATGGGAAGCTGGGTGGGGGAACATGGTACGGGGGTATGGGTTGACTGACACAGAGGCAGGCCCATACGCTCTCATCCTGTTAGTCAACAACACCTTGGTGTATGCGTCCGCGCATAAAAACCACGTGGACAAACCAAACCAGCAGGAGCATGAAATCAAGCTATCTTTTGCATGCACCCATCGCTCACCTCCGCATCTATGACCGCCTCATCATCATCCGCATACACCATGCTGTCCTGGCCTACTCCTCATGCTCCCATGCTATGCTTTCGCCTGCACACCAGCACGTGCACCCAGCGCTCACCTCCGCATCTATGACCGCCTCATCATCGTCCGCATACACCATGTTCGTCAGCAGCACCTGGTTGGGGGCGATGCACAAGCATGGTGGGTGAGGAATAAACGGGCGGGATGAGGGTTTGCTAGTTGGAATTGGAATTGTTTCTTTTAGGTCGTGTGAACATGTTCGGAATAATGTATGCGATAAGCGGGCGCAATCACATACCGTGACGAGCTGTGGCAGGAACTCGCGCAGCATCTCGGGCGACTGGTTGTTCTCGCAGTAGGCGGACCAAAACTCGCACGCCTCCAGAGCCACATCGGGGTCAGCATCCCGCGTGGACTGCAGCATGTACTCGATCACATTGCGCATGTGAGGCTGGGGGGAGAGTGGAGGGAGGGGGTGGGGGGGAAGCGGGAAGAGGGGAGGGGGGGGAAGCGGGGAGAGAGGGGGGGGGAGGGGGAGGGGACATAGGGTAAGGATGGGTCTGCGCCCCTGGTGGAATGCAGCATGTACTCGATCACGTTGCGCATGTGCGGCTGGGGGGGGAGGGAGGGGGGAGGGAGGAGCGAGTAAGGAGGGGACAGGCAGGAGATACGGAAGGGTGGATCTGCATCCCTGGTGGAATGCAGCATGTACTCGACCACATTGCGCATGTGCGGCAGGCAGGGGAAGGGAGTGTGAAGTGGTGGTGATGGTGGTGGTGGTGGGAGGGGCGGGTTGGGTTCGCCAGAGAAAAGCGAAAGGTGGGTCAGCATGCGCGAAAGGAAGGTGCTCACATGGAGGAAGCCTGGTTGCAACTTGCAGCTCGATGAGCTGAACCACAGCTGAGCGGACAAACCACAGCTGATCAATCAGCCCTGGGAAAGTTAATTCAGGCGACTTCTGAGGCGCCCGTGAATTCTGTCATCTACTCACATGGAGAAAGTCTGGTTGCAGCTCGATCAGCTGAACCACAGCTGAGCAGACCTGCAATCAGCGCCCAGGGGCCACAGGAAACGACACGTGTAGCGCAGGAAATGTGAAGGGTCTGAACCACAATTGCTGACCTGCAGGGGTCAGCACTTACAGAACGAGAAGTTGAGAGAAAAGGGTGATGCGTGACATTGTAACGAGGTGAACTTTGAGTCGACTCAACAACAAGCGCGGATTTCTATGGTAGGTGCGGTGCGGAAGCAGAGAGGAGGAGGTGGGGGGGGAGGTGGGGATGGGAGCAGGGTCTAAGCGGAATGGGGCTAAGTGGAGACGGGGGCGTCAAAGGGAGGTAGAATTTTATGGGAGCAGTGGGGGGAGAGGCCACACGCCGACTAGGGTTAGCTTACCAGCTTGCGGACTTCTGGGGTGGGGTCGGACCCCAAAGCAAACAGGCCCTGCAGGTAGCTATCCATGTTCACAAGAAGCACCTGACATGGGGGAAGGGGGAAGGGGGGAAGGGTGGGGGAAGGGGAGGAAGGGTAGGGGGAAGGGGGAGGAGGGGTGGGGGGAAGGGGAGGAGGGGACTTGGTAAGAGGGGGAAAAATCAGGTGCTTCACAGCAGGCAGAGCTGTGGGCAACGGAGAGCTCGAAACAGTTTGCCGGCTCTGCCCGATGCTCACCCGTGGCATGTGCTGCTGCCTATTCGCCTGAGGCTGCCGCTGCTGAGCCCTTTGCCTGAGGCGAACACAGCAGACGCGACACATACACACTAGATGCACGAACCAGTGCCATGCGCACTCCCCACCCCCAACACAACACCCATCCGTGGCTCACACGGACTAGACGAACTGGTTCAAATTTCCCAAAGGAAGCCATCTTGAGCAGGCTGGCATGGGGGGGTTTCCGAACAGCTGCAGCAGGCGCTCTCAAGACATGCCATATGAACACTACGTGTGCTTATCCGCAGCAACCCCCCACAACCACCCGAGGCATGTGCAGGATAAATTGGTTGACGCGTCCCAGAGCCATCTTGTGCAGGCTCACGTGCGGGGACCCCAACAGCTGCAGCAGGCAGTCTGCATACATGCCACATGAACACTTCGTGTGCTCCCAGCAGCAACCCCCATACCCACCCGCGGCATGTGCAGGATGAACTGGTTGACGCTCCCCAGCGCCATCTTGCGCAGGGTGGCGTGCGGCGAGGCGAAGAGCTGCAGCAGGCGCGGCAGGAAGACGGTGATGGGGCGCTCTGCCAGCCCTGGGATGTCCCGGTCCAGCTGCAGCGGCATGTCCTCACTCATCTGGGGAGGGGGGGGGGGAGGAGGGGGGGGAAAGAAGGTAGGGGGGGAACGAGCGATCAGGCAGAGGACTATGAGGAGCACCGGCACGGAGATGGTGATGGGGCGCTCTGCCAGCCCGAGGATATCCCGGTCCAGCTGCAGAGGCATGTCCTCGCTCATCTGGGGTACGGGGGGATGGGATGAGTAGGAGGGAGGGACATGAGGGGGAGGAGAATGGGAAAGAGCTGGCAGAGGAGTATGGGGAGCATGGGGCAGGAAGGCGGCGATAGGGTGCTCCGCTAGACCACCCTAGCGGAATGTCCCTGTCGAGTTGGAGAGGCATGTCCTCGATCATATGAAAGAGAGGGGGCGGGGGGGGGGGGGGGGGGGTGATGATGGGAGGAGAGGAGCAGGAGGAGCATGCGGCACGAGTATGGGAAAGGTGTATGGGAACGATGATGGGGCGCTCTGTCATGGGATGTCCCGGTCCAGCTGCAGAGCCGGCATGCCCTAGCTCATCTGAAGTCGGTGGAAGGAACAGGAGGGACGAGGAAGGGACGGGAGAGCGAGTCACTGAAACATCACTGGTAACACCAACGGACCAAGAGACTTCCAACACCATCTCATCCATCGACTGACCTTAAAAAAGCGCATCCAGCGCCCCTTCCATGTGGCTCAAGTCGCTCGAGTCCAAGCACTGCAGCATCCCTTGCAACATGAGAGAAATGAATGCTCTCAATACAAGCACATCCGCTAACTGACCTTAAAAAGAGCGTCCAAAGCCCCTTCCATGTGGCTGAAGTCGTTCGAGTCCAAGCACTGCAGCATCACTTGCAACAGGTCCGTCCACGCGTGCAGCCCGCCCTGCTGCTCCACAATAGTAGAGATAACGGTTCCTACTGTACCGCGTAGCTGGTGGTCCGGGAGGCCTATGCAGGGCAGCAGAAGCGCCTTGATATACCCCAGGTATGCCGGGTTCAGGTTCTCGTAGCCCGTTCGCAGGTTGTTCTTCAGGAGGAGCCCGGCGCTCTGACGGACTTCCACTGGTTGGTTCTGCGGGGGACGAAGTGGGTAAGGGGGGCGGGTGTGAAGCGGGAAGGCGACGGAGGGGGGAGGAGGGGAGGGTGTTTGAGTTGACTCAAGCGGGGTTCAGGTTTTCGTAGCCGGTTCGCAGGTTGTTCTTCAGACGGAACCGGGGCTCTGACGGACTTCTTCCACTGGTTCATTCTGCGTGAAGGGGGGGGAAGGGGAGAAGGGTGGGGGGGGTTAAGTAAGGGGGGCGGTTTGGAGGGAGAAGTGAGCAACGAGGCAAGACTAAAGACTCAATACTGAAGATCGCGTGACAACCAGTCTGATCGCGTAACGACCAGTCTGATCGCGTAACGACCAGTCTGATCGCGTAACGACCAGTCTGATTGCGTAACGACCAGTCTGATCGCGTAACGACCAGTCTGACTGCGTAACGACCAATCTGATCGCGTAACGATCAGCCTGATCGTGACAGCACCGAATGATACGATCCTAGCATGGCCTGATGTTCAGTGATCCAGCTGTCAGACATCGATACTAAGGCGGCCAGTCGAATCGAGCTGAGAAATACTGACCCCTGATGCTACATTGACTAATCCTTTATGAAAGACTGGCTAACCCCTTTCCCATGCGTCCGTGAACGAAACCTCCGTCGAAAACCGAAGACCGTTTAAGAAACCTCCAGTCACGAAGTAACACTCTGGACCTGGAAACTACAGAAACTCTCGGACTAAACAACCAGAAACCAGATAAAGTGGCGCATACACTTCTCCGTTTTCCATCGTACATTGAACGGCGACTTCGCAAATCTCTCCCTCGCACAAAAGGGAATGCGAGGCAGTAGTTGGAATCTGAAATTACTACCTCACAGATCGTTAGGAAACGACAGCTCGCACCTCTCCCTTGCACAAGAGGAACGCGAGGTAGTTGTTGAAATCTGGGAATTGGCTGCATCGCTGCAGTTCCTGGAAGATTCGCGCCTGATCAACGCCTGGTTTAAGGTATTCGTGCAGCAGCGTGCAGATCTCGTTCGCTCCCTGCTCTGACGGCTGCCATGCTGCCGCTGCTTCCGCCATACTTGCTGCGATCTTAGGGGCTGAGATTAATAAGTTTGGTTTCGACACGACGAGGTCCAGCAGCAAAGTGCGGAACTGAGAATACGGATTACGGGGACGCGCTGAGTTAGGTATCGAGGACGGTCAGCCGAACCCTGAACGATGCACCTGACTACCTTTCACAGGAATAAATCTCTAACTCGCAGTGAGCATGCTGGTAGGTTCCTCCTGGGTAAAGAAAGCTCTCAGAGATGCCTGATCAAAGCAAGAGGGATTTTGGAGTTCCCAAGGGAAGAGCAGAACTGGAGCAGACCTCACAATTGCAAACGTTTGTAGACGGAACAGAAACGCGTCTGTAGACGGAATACGAGTTTCCCGAAAACGGGTATCCTGACGACTTCCGTCAGTTTTGGGTGGAACAGTTCCCTGAAAGCCCGCGCAGATCTGTGGAGTGTCAGTCGTCTGTGGCCATCCGATTTTGGAGATGGAATCTAACGGCCACGATACCCGTAGAGCGCGCAAGCAGCGGCAAATTCTGGCCACTGATTGATTTGCTTTTGACCACACCTCAATAATCAAGTTCGGAACACACATGAGCATCTTTTGCAACTTTTGTCTCGGACGAAATCCCCACTTTATTCATATACGTAATGAAAATTCTAGACAAATTTCATCTTCTCTTGCTAACCTTCAAAGAAACGAATGAAATAAGAGATGGCAGACAGCAAGATGTGAGGAATGAAGAAAAAGAATGTGATGAATGCGAATGCTGTGCTAGCCTTGGTTCGTGAGCAAAACCTAGAATATGGGGATGGCCCCACACATGGAGCATAGTTGAATAACACAATCCCACGATCATTAAAGGTGGTCACTGCTGCTGCAGCAGCTCCAGCACTGAGGGCAACCAAGGCCATGAGCTGCATTGGGGTGGGCAGTACCATATCGGTTCACAAATAAAATTCAGAATTCAGCAGAAAGAAAGTACTAGCATGGACTGAAGCATGCGGAATGAGGGCTTACAATGTCCATGAGGTAGACGAGCCCGCGCCAAATGAGAGACCTGAGTTTGCGCCCCATGGCAAGCTGCAGGAGCTCGACCAGCAGCATGAGGAGCGACCACGCAGCTGTGATGACCATACCTGCCAGGAGATAGCGGAACGCCTGGTACCTCTGGAAAGAGGGGAGCACAGGGCGATGAAAAGGTTCAGCAAGAGAGCTGGAAGCTGAGGGGAAAAAGGGGGGTAACCAGCATGTCAGAGGTGTTCACTGGAGGGGACTTACGGTACCAGTGGCAGACAAAACGATGTTGTCAGATCATATGCTTACTCTGAAGGTGAGGTCCAGGTGGCCAGCCGTCAGCAGAACCACGAAGGATATGACGGATGAGGCCAGCTGAAGGAATCTGTGGGGACGAACAGATCACAAGAAAAAAAAAAAAATGAGAACCAGGTCAGTCTCTGTTCTGACGACGCTGAGGCTACAAGAAACAGGAACGAGAGAAATCGGAAGAATTTAGCTGAGAGGATGCTATTCTGGATGAGAGGCACCTGAATAGGAGCGACACCCATTGGTCAGGAGATCGCTTCCGTGTGTCCACTTCTTTCGCGCGTGATCCTCTTTCTCCTGAAACCGCTGCTTCCCCCGTCGGTGCTGGCCTTTCCCCCTCTGGCACCATCTTGCCTCCTACTTGTTAAATCCGAAAACGAAAATGTTTCTCAACTCGCGTGTAGCGCGGAAGGAACCCTCTCGTGCCTGAACGAGAGAGGAGTGCTACTTGCCGATACGGGAATACGGGTCGTAGTTACTGGTGAAGGTCGGGAGTCATCAGGGAGCCAGGATGCGTGCTTCGCTCAAGTTCGCCGGAAATGAGAAGAGTGCAGAAGAAATGTCAAATTCCCATCGACGAATTCTTTTTCCTCGCGCCGCTAGTGAGCTTGTTTCGCTGATGCCCCGAGGGGTCTACGTCCCCATGCTCCCCTCCCCCAACCCCCCAAACCTCGCGCACTTTTCGCGCATCCCTCCCCCTCCTCTCCCCACGATCCCCCGCAGCCATGCACGCGACCCTCGTCGGCCCCAAACAGCTGGTCCAGGCTGACGTGGCACCTCGTCGAGTTGGCGAAAGCTTCGCGAAACAGCTCGCGAATTGAAGCAAGCAGGGCGACAGCTGCAGGTCTCGCGTGCAGATCACACGTGTAACGCAGTAAGGCAGGGGTCGCGCGCTCCCCTTGCGAGTGCTACGACGACAATTCGCGCTCCCCTAGCTTTCGAAATTCGCGCCTCGTCGCTCAGAATTTCGCGCTGCACCTAGGACACGGGATATGCCATGTCGTCTACCACAGCATGGACGGGTCCCCTCCGCTCACCCGGCCCCTCCACTTATCTCCCTCCATCCTCCCCTCCCGCCATGCGCGCACCACCATCCCGCCGGCGCGTTCTTTCTTGCTCCCGCTCCTGGCTTTCCTCGCTATCTGGCGCCACGCCACCGGCCGAATCCCTCGCCACTGCCTCCCAAGGCCCCATCGCCTTCGCTACGTCCTTGCGTCCTGCTTGAGCCGCTCTTTCTTTCTCCTTTCGTCCTTTCGCGAGTTTCTCTCCATTCCGTTCCGTTCACTCCGGCGGAAGTCGACTCTCATTCGCTCTGCTACCTACGTCCTCATTCACACCAAATTTTTGAGTAGACTCGAAAATCGCCTCATTCACACCAAATTCCGAGGCACTAGCTCTCGCTGTACCCACTAGGTAGTATCTCTGTCACTCGTGCTCCTTAACTACCGTAACCTCTGCATCACTCTCCGCCTCTACTCCCAGTACTAACTCGTTCGTAACCTGCTACCACAACAACCTGCTTCACTCCCTCAACGAGTCACCCCCCAAGCACAAGACCCTCCCTCACCCAGCATGGAAACACAAGCGGGTCGACCCGAGCCATCCGGGTTCCGCAGCAAGCGTCCAAGAAAGGCCGCCCAGTGGCTGAACCCGCTGCTGCGCTTCCTGCAGCTCGCCGCGGCCGTATGCGCGTTCCCCGTGATGATCCGCGCGGGCGCGGGGCTGCTTTGGTTCTCCAACTGGCACGCGTTCTCGTTTCTTATAGCGGGGACGGTTATAGCGGGGTTCTGGGCGCTGCTGATGCTGCTGCTGGACTGCTTCTTGGCGGCTACGGGGAAGATGCTGCACTCGACTGCGCTGCTGTGGGCCATCGTGATTGGCGACTTTGTGAGTTGTCAGTGGCTTTTTAAGCCACCTTTGCCCACATCCCAGTCTCTCCCCCTCCCTCCCATTCCCCCCTCCCAATCACATGTATTCCCCCCCGCCCCTCATCCTGCCACTAGTATCCCTCAATGCGCTCTCAGCTAGTGCTGCAATGCAAGCACTGCCCTCACCTCTCATCAACCAGGGCCTTCTCAGAGTGATTCACTCTCAGGGGCATATCCCCCCTACCCACACACACTTTATACGGACTGCCCTCTCCATGGCCCTCTCTGCTGGTGCTGTAACTGCTGCCCTAACAACTCTGAACGACCGGGTCACCTAGGGCGCCCCTTTACCTGCACGGGGTCAACGCCCTTCAACACCTTCTGTGCCCTCACCTAGGCTCTATCTGATCCCCTTCAACATGCCCTGTGTCCCCATGCATCCCCCGCAGATTGCTCTTTCCATGGCCCTCTCTGCCGGTGCTGCCACGGCTGCCATCACCACTTCGAACGACCAGGGTCTCCCAGGCCGCCCCCTTCATCTGCACGGGGTCTACGCCCTTCGACACCTTCTGCACCCGCACCACTGCATTCCCCCTCCCTGTCCCCCCACCACCCCCCCACATCCCCCACAGATTGCTCTTTCCATGGCCCTCTCTGCCGGCGCTGCCACGGCTGCCATCACCACTTTGAACGACCAGGGCCTGCCAGGGCGCCCCTTCATCTGCACGGGGTCTACGCCCTTCAACACCTTCTGTGCCCGTACCAAGGCAGCAGCAGCCATGGCGCTAATCTCCGCTGCCTTCTTCCTACCCTCACTGCTCCTCAGCGGGGCCAGGCTAGCTTCTGAGTTCTATGAAGAGGATGATTAGCCTTGTTTTGAGGAGCACTAAAGCAGCAGCAGTCATGGCGCTCTTTCCGCCTCCTTCCTGCCCTTGCTGCTGCTCAGCGGCACTAGGCTAGCTCCTGAGTACCTTGAAGAGGATGATTAGTAGTATGACGCCGAGTATTAGGATGCTAGTCTTGCGCTGAGCCCCTCTAGTGCCGAGCCTTGGAATAGTATCATGAGGCTTTAGGGTTCCAACTATTATCCATTTTCTATGAAGTCAGACTCGAGAAGAGCTGACGGGCTAGCTACAGCTGAAGTTCCTATAAATACTTAAAGCTGAGTACTTGGGGGATGAGCCCTAAAGCCATTGCTGGAGGGCCATTATTCAACTGCTTTCCTAAGTCTGCTGCAGTGACATCCCTCACTCACCCATCCCACTCCTCTGCTGCTCACATCACGAGCTGTGCTCTCAAGCAGTTGATGGCGGAATTTTCTTCAACTTCGCAAAGTTAGCTGCAGTGACATCTCTCACTCACCCATCCCACTCTGCTGCTCACATCACGAGCTGTGGAGGCAGGCTTTTCCTGAGCTGCTTGGCAAAATCCGCAGCAGTGACGTCCCTCACCCTCCCATCCCACTCCTCTACAGCTCAGTGCTCAGTGCTCACATCACAAGCTGTGTTTTCTAAGCCGTTGGAGGCGGGCTTTTCCTCAGCAGCTTGGCGAAATCCGCTGCAGTGACGTCCCGCACCCACCCATCCCACTCCTCTGCTGCCCCGACCTCTCGGCAGGTCTGGTTGAACCCGGACCTCTCGTGCAGCTTCGGATACACGTTTTTGTGCATCTCGCTATAAGCCACGTGCTCCCCACTGCTGTCCGTCTCTCTAACCTCGTTATAAGCTAACACTCCAGCCTGGTTAGATAAGGGGGTGGAGGCATTGGGAGGGGTGGAGGCATTGGGAGGGGTGGAGGAATGGGAGGGGTGGAGGAATGGGAGGGGTGGAGGAGTGGGAGGGGTGGAGGAATGGGAGGGGTGGAGGAATTGGGAGGGGTGGAGGAATTGGGAGGGGTGGAGGAATTGGGAGGGGTGGAGGAGTGGGAGGGGTGGAGGAGTGGGAGGGGTGAAAACCGAGAATCGGAATGGTGCGGGAGGGAGTAATGTTGATAATTCTACAAGCAGTGAAACAGGAATGAGCAGATGTTGCGGTGTATGTATACATCTACAGCAGAACCCATGTATATATATCCTCCCCCCCCCCCCCATCACACACATTCTCCCTGCGCGGATACACCAGCCACTCCACCACAAATGGTGTCACCTCCCTCCTCCCCATCCACTCCTCAGTTGTCGCATTCTCCCATGCTATCCCCTCTCTCCTTATCCCCACACACCCAGTCAGGTATCGTAAAATGCGGCCGCTGCCTTTGCCTACAATGCATGGTGTGATCCGCTTTCATACATAGCCAGGTACCTTTCTCGGGTTGGTGAAGTGGGACCGTTGACCTTGCTCCCCAATGCACTTCTCCCGATCCTCCCCGCCCCCCTCGCACACATTCTCTCTCCTCCTATACGCCAGCCACTCAACCACAAACGGAGTGACCTCCCTCTTCCCCATCCACTCCTCTGTCGTTGCATTCTCCCATGCTATCCCCTCCCTGCACTTCTCAGTGCTCCACTCGTGCGCCCCGTAGGTGAGCCACGGGCGAGAGGCGTAGTGGGCGAGGAAGGATGGGAGCGTGTGGGGTGGGGCGATGTAGAGGTAGCTGTCGGGTGGTAACACGGTTACCCACTTGGATGTGAAGTGTGTGCTGTATAGACAGTCTAGCGCGCTGAGGGACTGGTGCGCGGGGGGGAGGAGGGGGGAAAGTTAGGGGAGGAGGAATGCTTAGGTTGGGCAGTAACACGGTTACCCACGATGATGTGAAATGTGTGCTGCAGAGGCAGTCCAGGGCGCTGAGGGACTGGGGGGGGGGGAGGGGTGGTGGAAGGGGGGGAGCAACGGGAATGGGTAACGAGGAATGCTGTCAGTAAGGGGGTAACACGGTTACCCACTTCGATGTGAAGTGTGTGCTGTAGAAACAGTCCAGGGCGCTGAGGGACTGGGGGGGAGGGGGAGGGGGAAGGGGGAGGGGGAAGGGGGAGAAGCAAGGGGAAGTGGGGAAAACGGAATGCTGTCAGTAAGGTGGTAACACAGTTACCCACTTGGATGTGAACAGTGTGCTATAGAGACAGCCTAGGGCGCTGAGGGACTGACGGGGAGGATGGAATGGAAGGGTTGTGGCAAGGCGAAAGGAAGGACGAAAGGAAGGACGAAAGGAAGGACGAACAGAGGGAATGGAGAGAGGGATGCAAGAATGGGAAAAAGCGCGGTACTGTACTCACATGCGCGTTGTACTCGATATTGTAGAAGGACAGGTGGCCCGTGGGGATGACTTGTATCGAGTCGTTGCGCAGGAAGGCGTCTAGGACCGTGGCAAGGCTGGGTGGGGGCATGGGGGAGAGAAGGAAAGTTAAGGAAACAGAGGGAGGAGTCAGACTGATTCCCAACAGAGGAATTAAATAGACCCAACTGAATTTTCTAGACCCGACTGTTCTTTCTCATTTGTAGTCGAGCGACCCAGCGCCAGAAGTAGCTCACCCACTCCTTCCAGTGGAAGCCAGTGGCTCTCGCCTCAACCTCCCTCCCCATCCGCACGTCCCTTCAAAGCACACAGCCTCTCACCTCTGATCCATAGGTCCAGCATCATACAAGCGAGACAGGATGATGCCAAAGGTGCCAGTGTTAGCTCACCCACTCCTGCTGCCCTCACGGCAACCCCTCTTCCCACACGCACAGCACTTGAAAGCACACAGACTCTCATTTCTGATCCATTCATCCAGCGTCGTATCAGCGAACTGCAAGTTGCCAATGGTAGCCCACCCACTCCTCTACTGTTCATGCTTCCACCTCACTCCCCATGCGCACACTCCTTCAAAGCACACAGAGCGAGGCAAGGCCATGTGGTAGACTCTCACCTCTGATCCCTTGATCCAAGGGATCAAGGGACTCTCTATCGTATAATCGGAACCGATTGGCTCCAAGGCGCCAGTGGTAGCTCACCCATTCCTGCACAGCCCTCACATATTCAAGCGCCCTACTAAGGCGTCTACCGAATTCATTCGTAAGCAGTTGCTTGCTCACCTCTGATCCATAGATCCAGCATCATATAGGCGGAACTGAGTGGCGCCAAGGTGCCAGTGGTAGCTCACCCACTCATGCACTGTCCGCGCTTCCACCTCCCTCCCCATCCGCACGGCACAGATGGTCAGGAGGTGCGGCAGCTGGTCGAAATCGGGCGGCACGATGGAGTGGTCTAGAGCGGTGCTCTCCCTGCCAGGCGCACAAGAAAGGAGGGGAGTTTGCAGGGGGGTGGGGGCGGGGGAGATGGGTGGAACAGAACAGAAGTCACGATGGAGTGGACTAGAGCGGGGCTCTCTCTGCCGGGCGCACAAGGAGGGGTGTTTGCAGGGGGAATGGGAGGGGAGGGGAAGGGTATGGGGGAAGGAGTAAACTGAGGGGCCGCTCTTGCCTCCACCTCCCTTCCCATGCGCTTGGCACAGAGAGTCAGGAGGTGAGGCAATTGGTCAAAGTCGGGTGGTACGACGGACTGGTCCAGAGCGGTGGTCCACAGCAGTGCTCACGGGCATACGGGAGGACGGGCACATGGAAAGGAAGGGGGAGAGAGACAGGGACATGCGCTCGGCACAGAGATTCAGGAGGTGAGGCAAGTGGCCAAAGTCGGGTGGTACGACGGAGTGCCCCACGGCTGTGCTCATGTGCATATGGGTGGGCAGGCGCACAAGGAAGGAGGGGAGAGTTAGGTGGGGGAAGGAGTCAACCGGGGGACAACACTCGCCACCACCTCCCTCCCCATGCGCACATCACAGAGAGTCAGCAAATGTGGCCGGTGGTCAAAGTCAGGTGGAATGATCGGGTGCTCCACAGCTGTGCTCCACAGCTGTGCTTTCGCTGTCGGTCAAGAAGGGGGGGAAAGTCGGGAGAAGGAGTGAACTGAGAGGGCAACACTCGTCTGCACCTCCCTTCCCATGTGCACATCATAGAGAGTGAGCAAATGTGGCCGGTGGTCAAAGCGGGTGGTATCATGGTCATGGGGTGGCCTATGGAAGTGCTCTCTCTGTCGGTCAAGAAGGGAGAGAGACGGGGAGAAAGGAGCGAGTCAAGTGACAACACGTTCCTCCACCTCCCTGCCCATGAGAGCACAGAGGGTGAGAGAGCAGATGCGGCAGGCGGTCAAAATCAGGTGGGTATGACGGGGTGCTCTATCAGGTGCTCAACAGCAGTGCTCTCACTGCCAGTCAAGAAGGGGGGGAAAGCCGGGGGGGAAGGCACGGGCAGAGTGAGCAACACTCGTCTCCACCTCCCTCCCTCCCCATGCGCACAGCATAGAGAGTGAGGAGGTGAGGCAGGCGGTCAAAGTCTGGTGGAAGCAACAGAAGAATCACCTGAAAGCAACAGAAGAATCACCTGAGAGCAACAGAAGAATCACCTGAAAGCAACAGAAGAATCACCCGAGAGCAACAGAAGAATCACCTGAAAGCAACAGAAGAATCACCTGAGAGTGAGGAAGGGCTCCTGGGAAATAGTGAGGAAGAGGTCGCCCCCAGCATCCCCTGTTGACTCTCAAACTCGCACTGGGGAGGACAGGGAGGGGGGCAAGATTTGGGTGGTGGAGAAAGGAGTGAGGGGTTGAGGCATAGAGAGGAAGAGTTCGCCCCCAGCCTATTGCCTGTTGACTCCTCAAACTCGCCCTGGGGAGGGCAAGGGGAGGGAGGGAGGTACGGGAGGGGTGGTGGAGGAGGGATGAGATATAGAGAGGAAGAGGTCGCCCCCAGCATCGCCTGTTGACTGCTCAAACTCGCACTGAGATGGACGAGGAGGGAGGCAAGAGAGGGGTGGTGGAGAAAGGAGGAGGAGTGAGGGGTTGAGCATTAGTAAGGAAGAGGTCGCCACCAGCATCGCCTCTTGACTGCTCAAACTCGCACTGGGGAGAACAAGGGGAGGGAGCTTGCGAGGGGCATATGGCAGGGGAGGACAAGGCAGGGGAGGACAAGGCAGGGGAGGACAAGGCATACGGCAGTTGGCAATGTATACAAAAGCCACACAGCGACCTTACCAAGTGGATCACATCACAGATCACAAGGGAGTTGTGTTGTGTTGAGATTCAACGTGCGCACATACATGACAAGAGAGTCCGCCCCCTGATGGCTCAGCAGCACCGCTGCTTTGCTCTTCAGCACTGTCCCTCACCACCCCTCCCCGTTCCCTCCTCTCCATTTAGAGAAGAGAGAGGAGGGGAGAGGGCGGAGGCCCATCAGCGATCAAGTGTGACCCATCATGGCCATCATAAGCCTAGAGCTTTCCTACATTCGCATCACCCATTGACGGCTCAGCAATACCGCTGCTTTGATCTTCAGCACAGTACCTCACTCCCCCTCCCTGTTTCCTCGTTCCCATATCGGGACGAGAGGAGGGGAGAGAGAGGAGGCCCGTCAGCGATCAAGTGTGAACCATCATTGCCATCGACTCAAGCAAAACCCTTAACCCACCGACATGCTACTTGCCGATATCCCCCATACCCCCCATACCCCCCATACCCCCCATACCCCCCATATCCCCATATCCCCCATATCCCCCATATCCCCCATATCCCCCATATCCCCCATATCCCCATATCCCCCTAATACAGACGGAGAGCCCTCACCTTTATGACAATCGCATCGTAGTCGCTCTCTTGCCGCAGGTTAGTGTAGATGATTGTGGACCTTCCCTTCAGCTCCAGCACCTGGCCTCCCTGCCACAGGCACTCAACAGTGCCCTGGAGACAGAAGGGACAGGTAGCACAGAGAAGGCGGGGGGTACGGCGGAGCAGGTTAGCATAAGTGGTTGAGTCTCTAGCTCCTTGTCTCGCTGCCGTAAGCTTTTGAGTCGACTCAAAAGCAGTCTCTAGTTCCTTGTCTCTCTGCCGTAAGCACTCGCAACTGCCTTAGAAAATGGACTGAGAAAGGGATGAGGGACAAATGGGGGACTCACGTGACATTGGAAGTGAGGCATAGGTGGCATAACGGCAGAGATCAACTTCATCATGAAAGTTTACAAAAGCACCCAGAAGATTGCCCTCGGCCGGCATGCCCTCAGGGAGCATCCCCTCGGGCGGCTTTCCCTCGGCCGGCTTGCCCTCGGCGGCATCCCCTCAGGCGGCTTGCCCTCAAGCGGCATACCCTCGGGCGGCATCCCCTCGGGCGGCATCCCCTCGGGCGGCATACCCTCCGGCGGCATGCCTCGATCGGCTTGGCCTCAGGTGGCATCACCTCGGGTGGCATCCCCTCGAGCGGCATGCCCTCGGGCGGCATCCCCTCGGGCGGCATACCCTTGGGCGGCATACCCCGGGCAGCATGCCCACGGGCGGCATGCCTTCGGGTCGCTTGCCCTCAGGTGGCATGTCCTCGGGCCCTTTCCCTCGGGAGGCTTGCCCTCGGGTGGCATGCTCTCGGGCGGCATGCCCTCGGGCGGCATCCATCGGGCGGCATGCCCTCGGGCGGCATCCCTTCGGGTGGCTTGCCCTCGGGCGGGCGTCCCCTCAGGCGGCATCCCCTCGGCGGCATCCCTCGGGTGGCATCCCATCGGGCGGCATGCCCTCGGGCGGCATCCCCTCGGACGGCCTGCCCTCGGGCGGCATCTCCTTGGGCGGCATGGCCTCGGGCGGCTGGCCCTCGGGCACCCTCGGGCGGCATCCCTCAGGCGGCATGCCCTCGGGCGGCATCCCCTTGGGCGGCCTGCCCTTGGGCGGCATCCCATCGGGCGGCTTGGCCTCGGGCGGCTGGCCCTCGGGCAGCATCCCCTTGGGGCGGCATACCCTCGGGCGGCATACCCTCAGGCGGCATTCCCTCGGGCGGCATGCCCTTGGACGGCATGCCCTCAGGCGGCATCCCCTTGGGCGGCATCCCGTCGGCTGGCATGCCCTCGGGCGGCATCCCTCGAGGGCATACCCTCGGACGGCATGCCCTCGGGCGATATCCCCTCGGCCAGCATGCCCTCGGGCGGCATCCCCTCGGACGGCATGCCCTCAGGTGGCATCCCCTCGGGCGGCATTCAAAAGAAGCACGGATGGATTCTGTGGCGAGGAAAAGAAGAGCACTTACAGATGGTCTTTCAAGAAGTGTGCTCCAAAGCCCACCGCAGCAAAGGTGCGGGAAGCAAGGCGGTAGGCGCTGAACTGAATGAAGCCGTGGGGGCCGCGGGGGAGGGGGTGGAACGGGATGGAGGGCAGGCCCACGTGCTGCTGGAGCGGCTCTAGCTGCTGGAGGTAGGTGCTGTATCCCTGCCATGTCAGGTTGAAGGGGACTGGGTTGGTGAGGGGAGCAGGAGGAGGGAAGGAGAGAGGCACATTTGAGTCGACTTGAAAGCCAAGTGCAGGGGGTGGAAGGGGGTGGAAGGGGGTGGAAGGGGGTGGAAGGGGGTGGAAGGGGATGGAAGGGAAGGAGAGAGGGTAACCGCCACCAAGGTGCGGGAGGCCCCGGTGCTGCTGCTGCAGCGGCTTTAGCAGAGGCAGGTGCTGCTGAATCCCTGCCATCCCCTTCCACCTGTACAGCAGCACGCACCTGCCATCCCTGCCAGCCATGATAGGTTGATGGGGACTGGGGTGGGAATGCAGCGAGGGAACTGCCGCGTGTAATGAGTCTGCTTTTGAGTCGACTCAAAAACGGGGACTGGGTGGGAATGCAGTGAGGTAACGTCAGGCAGATGCAAGAAATGTGACGTTGCTCGCTCGCTGCATTCCCACCCCAGTCTGCTTTTGAGTCCACTCAAAAGCAGATGCAAGAAATGTGACGTTGCCTCGCTCGCTGCATTCCCACCCCAGTCTGCTTTTGAGTCGACTCAAAAGCAGATGCAAGAAATGTGACGTTGCCTCACTCGCTGCGTTCCCACCCCAGTCCCTGTCAACCTATCATGGCAAGAAACGTTTGTTACAGCGAAGCCAAAACAGCCTTCCAGCCTTCCCAAAGAAACCCCTGCTACTTCCCCACCTCCTATCTCCTGCCCGGACATAGCCGCCTGAGCATTACTGCTCAGCACTGCAGCAGGCAAGGCGCCTTGAAAGCAAGTCCCTGCTACGCACATGCACTCACCTCCTACCTCCTGTAGAGACATAGCCGCCTGAGCTTTAGTGTTTGTAGGTACTGAAGCAAGCACGAAGAAACCGCTGCTGCAAGGGCTGCGATGGTGATTGTGACGGACAGAAACACACTCGTTTCTCCCCCTTCTCACCTCCGATCTCCTGCAGGAACGTAGTCCGCAGCGCTTACTGCTTGGCGATGCAGCAGGCACGGCGTCTCAAAAGCAAATCCCTGCTACGCACTCACCTCCTATCTCCTGCAGAGGCATAGCCGCCTGAGCGTTAGTGCTTGGTACTGAAGCAAGCACGAAGAAACCGCTGCTGCAAGAGGCATATCCCAGCTACGCACTCACCTCCTATCTCCTGCAGAGGCATAGCCGCCTGAGATTTACTGCTCGGTACTGCAGCAGGCACGAGCAGGAAGGAGAGGGTGACCGCCACAGGATCGCAGCGCCAGAAACAGCTGCTGCCAGGGCTGTGATTGTCCAGAAGTGTTCCTTTATCGGGGCCAGCAGCACTTGTGCGCTCCTGGGAAGTTGATAGGAGCGAGTCGAGGGCAACCAGGGAGAAAACAGGTAAGAGTGGAAAGGAAAGCAAGGTCAGCACATTCGTGTTCCTGGTCTTTTGAGAGTTCTCGAGAACAGGTAAGAGTAGATGGGAAGGCAAGATCGGCACATTCGGGTTCCGTTCCTGCCAGGGTACTGTGCTCTGGCAGGAATTCGAATGGCATGAGAGTAGTTTTGAGGCGCCTCAAAACTGCCAGGGTACTGTGCTCTGGCAGGAATCCGAATGGCATGAGACTCTCTGCCTCTGAGTCGAATCACCAAGTCACCAAGTCACCAAGTCACCAAGTCACCAAAGTCACCAAGTCACCCAAGTCACCCAAGTCACCAAGTCACCAAGTCACCAAGTCACCAAGTCACCAAGTCACCAAGTCACCAAGTCACCAGTCACCAAGTCACCAAGTCACCAAGTCACCAAGTCACCAAGTCACCAAGTCACCAAGTCACCAAGTTACCAAGTCACCGTTACTGCTTGATTCCTCACCAGTACCCGAACGAACTGACCATTACTGCTTGATTCCTTACCTTGCCAACACACCCTACATAAGCTGCACGCCCTACGTTAGCTGCACGCCCTACATAAGCTGCACGCCCTACCTCGGTAGCAGGCCCTGTGCGAATCGGAGCATCCCCCCAGCGTCATAGCCGCTCCTTGGCTCGCTAGCGCCGCCTCCAACCCCTCTTGTTGACTGACGATTCACGACCATTGACGGGGCGCCTTTGCTGACTGACGGAGCGCCATTACTGACTGACCGACTCCCTTCGTTAAGAGGAAGAAGAACCTCGCTGTTTTCGCTGGATCCAACGAACGGACGAGCTTCGCCGTTCCTATCTCCGTTGGTTCTGTCTCCGTCGCTTCTGCTCTCCGTCCGTCCGACCTCGGGATCATCGCCGCTTGCACTCGGAACTTCTAAAATCCCTTCGTCACTGTCACTTCGAGGGTGTGACAACAGCGCGCGAGGATCCTTCGTATGAGTCAAAAGCGTCTTTTGCGGAGATTCCGGCGGAGTATCAAACCGCTGCTCTTCCGTGAACCCTCCGGCTGGGCCATACTCAGAAGCCTCCGCGATTCCCGGCGTGTTTGCCGCTGAAATGCCATCCGATCCTGGTCGGCTGGCTGACTCGGCATCTCTGCGAGGTTCGGAACTTGAGCTCATAGCGCTTTCGACAAGTGTTTTGAGGCAGGAAATCCTCTCGAGCTCCTCGCGAAATCCTCGCGAACTCCTCGCGGAACTCCTCGTGAACTCCTCGAAAATAGATTGAGAGCGATCCTAGGCCCTTAAGCTGGTTGACTGCACAAGACTTAGCGGCGTTGGGACGTTATTCAATGGACCACGGCTCGGACTGCTCACTTGAGATGGCCCGCATCCATCGCTGGACATGAGAATGTCTGCCTTCCGCTTCTGGAAGGAAAATGCGGAAGGACGATACGATACGAGTCAACTCTAAACGACTACTAACAGAAAGTCTAACGGCTTATCAGAGAGAGTCTGGTCTGGAGTGCCAATCTGGAGAATATGACTGGCAATAGTGGCTGCTTTATCTGGTTCCTACAGCGGGTTCGGTATAGGCGCACACACGCATCCAGAAGAACATGGGGAGGCATCCCCTACCACAAAGTCTAAAATTCACTTTATTTACTGCCTACAACAGCGAGAATAGGGATTATCTTACAACCTTTGGTAACCGTCGTTGATTCTGCTAGAAAACGTTTTGTTCCATATTACCTCGTGACTATTCATGCTAGGTCTAGAAATAGCAATATCAATACCAAAACACTTCAGTATGCACGCTTATGAGGAATCATACAGGATCACTTTATCCGCGTCAATGAGTGGCAATCGCTGACTCCGAGCCGCCAGCACCCACTTGAACCCAGTTCCCGCCAGCACGAATTTCGACGCACCGCAACGGCTCCTCTTGAATTCATCGGCTTCCAAACCAAACCACTCGCCGCCACCCAAGCCAAGCCAGCCGTGGCCCCACCGAGCCGAATCCCAAGGTTCGATCGATGACACGACATGCCTTGCCCTCACGCCCGCCGCTTCCGCTGGTTATTTCTTGACGCTTTTCGGCGGTTTACGCGGTAATTGATCCGCTGCTGCTGCCGAAGCAACTGGGTGCCCGCAAACGGGAGTCTACTTGAGCTCCAATAGAAATCCACAGGAGGTGCTCTTCATTCCAAAAAGGCTATTCACTGATTCAGTCTTATCGTTCTCATCTTGTTCCAGATTTACTGAGCATCTCCTCCAGAGTTACTAGAACAAGACTGGTAGTTTCTGCCTAGAACCGTGCCAAGGCTTGATCGTTCCATCTCCTAACGATGGCCAGGAGTCACACTTACGCTGTTATATCCCTAGCCTTAGCCGCTCTGTGCTTGGTGGCTTTGGCTTCTGCTGCCGGCACACCGACAACTCCGGCGCCTGCGACGAAGACAACGCCTGCTCCTGCCGGCAAGACGCCTGCTCCTGCCGGCAAAACTCCAGCGAGGAAGCCGCGAAAGCACACGCCATCGAAGATCAACCAGGGCGTGTTCAACAAGTGGGATGGCGGCTACATCGCCACGATCTCTCCCTCCGAAGGCGGTCTGGCGCAAGGCGCGTGCGGTTACGGCACCACGGTGAACACTCCAATCGGATACGCTACTAGCGCGGTTTCTTCTGTTCTGTACGAAGACGGCCAGACGTGCGGCGCGTGCGTGGCCATCCAGTGCGTGAAGAACAAGAAATGCAACGGGAAATTGACCACCGTTACAGTCACGAACCACTGCAAGGGGAACCGCACCCACGGCGGCCTGTGCATGCTCCCGAAGAAATCCATCATGCTGCCACCCACCGTCTACGATCAGATCGTCACCTCCCGCGACGCTGGCGACATCAGCGTGCGAGCGATGCGCGTTCCGTGCCCTCGCAAAGGCGGGATTCAAGTGAAGGTGCTTATGGGGAACGACTGGTTTATCAACCTGCTCCCGCTGAACGTCGCGGGACCGGGAACTATTTCCAAGGCAGAAGCGCAGTTGATAGGCAGCGGAGGATTCAAGCCCCTTACCAGGAACTTCGGAACCACGTGGTCGCTGAACGGGATTAAGGTTGGCGGGAAAGCGCTGACGCTGCGCCTGACGTCCAACTTCAACGGGAAGGTGGTTGTGTTGAAGAATGTGATTCCCGCTTCGTGGCAGGTCAACCAGACGTACGGCGGCGAAGATAACTTCCCTGACAGCTAAGCCATCCCAGTGCTTATAAGCACTTAGTAGCATTTAGTATAGTTCGTGGTAGCATTGTGAAGAACGGTAGTGCTTATTAGCTCTCGGCCTACTCACATTCTAGCTGATCATGCCTTTCAGTCCGCCAGAGTGGGTATTCTCGTAACGGCTGTCCAAACTCATATGTTGGTGAATATAGCACCTCAAATGGTTTGACATTTGCATTCCTGCCAGCTGCCTGGCATACCGTACCTTCACTACAGCAAGCATGGTTCGTTGTACCATCCATGAAAGTAGATGAAACGCTCAAAGTGAAGTGAACCCCACTGGGTGGAAAGGGTTCGGAGGTGGCAGGAGTGCAAGAAATCTCGCTTCAGTGGGCTGGGGGCTGAGGTGAGGAGGAAGAGGTGAAAGCTCAGTACCCACTGCTGAGCGTACTCCAAGCCTTGAGAAGATGTCAGGAGGTTGAAGCCTGAATGGAAAAACTTAGGGAGTGCCCATTACCAGCTCTCTCCTGTTTCATCCCTCCCCCTCCCTCTCCCCCCCCTGCTCCTGCACTTTCTATGACAAGGCATACATACACGCCAGATAAAAGTAAATGAATACTGCATAGCAGTATACACGAGCAAGCCATAAATCGTGGAACGCATTACACCACACCACACATTGTGTAACACACTGCATATTGCACTAGAGCTTGGACATGCGGGAGGAGCGAGGAATGAGGCCAACTCGAAGGCCAGGGTAGTCGATAATTAAATCAAACTTAGACAGTAAGTTACGGCAGATTAATCCGCTAGTGTACTGCGATAACTCCAAGGCTCCTTGTTCCGCTGAGGAGAAAAGCGCCGCCACGTTCTTGAGCTGCTGGCCTGCTATTGTCACGATCGCCAGGTTGCCCTGCCGTACCTGCATGGGAACAAGGGGCAGGAGAACAGGGGCAGGAGAACAGGGGCAGGAGGGCGAGAGCAGTGGGAGGAGGGAAGGAGTTGATTTTGCAGGGTGTTTTTGAGAATTCTCAAAAACACCCGGAGAAAAGCGCCGCCACATTCTTGAGCTGCTGGCCGGCTATTGTCACGGTTTCCGGATTGCCCTGCCGCACCTGCATGGGAACAGGGGCAGGAGAACAGGGGCAGGAGAACAGGGGCTAAAAGGTGAGAGCATGGGCCTACAGCATCAGAGGATGGTGACGGATGAATGCACGGTACAGTTACCCAGTTACCACCCTGCGATCGTCCCTTCCCTGCTCCCTTTCTCGTCAACACACAGAGCCACACATACGCACACACCCACTCGCCGTCATCTGCTGCTCGTCCCCGTGTAATAAGTCGATTTTGAATCGACTAAAAAATCGACTTCTTACACACGGATCACACACACATGCACACTCAGGCAAGCAGACCTAGACACATGCACACACAGGCAAGCAGACCTACACACATGCACACACAGGCAAGCAGACCTACACACATGCACACACAGGCAAGCAGACCTACACACATGCACACACAGGCAAGCAGACCTACACACATGCACTTACCGTCATCTGCTGCCCGTCCCCCCCTCCCCCTGCGCCGCCCATCCCTTTCAGCCAGCTGTCCCCTCCCTTCGCCCTGGTTCCCAGCTGGCAGCGCTGCACGGCGCGAGAGTTGAAGATGATGTCCACGCCGGCTGCGCCCGTGTCTAAGAGGAAGAGCCCCTGCTGCTGAGGCGAGTCCCAGTGCTCCTGGAAGGTGATTGTTATGTGGGGGACGCTGCCCAGCATGCGAATGGGCTGCATTAGTAGGGAGGGGGATGGGTGGGGAGGCAGAGAACAAACCCTGTTATCGATCATATGACATAGACCTCGTGTCCTCGTGTACACACGGAGGAAGAGACCTCGTGTCCAGGAGGAAGAGCCCCTGCTGCCTAGGCGAGTCCCAGTGCTCCTGGAAGGTGATTGAGATATGCGGCACGCTGCCCAGCATTCGGATTGGCTGCATGGGAGGAGGAGGGGGGGAGAAGGAGGTGGGGGGTTGTGGGGAGGGGAAACGGGCAGGGGCATATGCCACAGTCTCCGTGTGTACAAGGAAGAGCCCCTGCTGCTGGGGCGAGTCCCAGTGCTCCTGGCAGCTGATTGAGATATGGGGACGCTGCCCAGCATGCGAATGGTCTGCAGGGGGGGAGGGGAAAGGGGGGAAGGGTTGAACGGGTAGTAGGCAGAGGATTGACACGAGCCTACAGTCACCACAGTTATTCAGCACCAAGAAAACCTACACGAGCAGCCACCTACCTCCCAGTAGCCATCCACCTCCCAGCAGCCACCGACCTCCCACCAGCCACCTACCTCCCAGTATATCTTTGCCCCTAGATCCGGCACGGAAGGGTGACCTCCAGGGCTCCAACCATTGCAGCAGAAACCACCGCCAACCCGACCCCTGTTTTAGAGGCAGCAGGCGTGGTCTTGCTGGCTTACCTACCCTAGTAGCCACCTACCTCCCAGTATATCTTTGCTCCGAGATCAGGCACAGAGGGGTGGCCTCCAACCAGCGCAGCGGAAACCACCGCCACTCCGCCCCCCGTCCTGCCCCCCGCCCCTCCTCCTCTCCCCCGTCTTTGCGCCATCGCAACACCAGGTGGCACGGGCCCATCTGCAGGTCTTTCCGGGCCGCTTTCTCCTCTACTTGGTTTCCCTGTGCGACTTTCCGTGCTGCCTGCTGCGGTACTGCTTGCACGAGGCTCTGGTGCTGAGGGTTCCGTCTCTTGTGGCTTGTACAGCCTGAGGGTTCCCTTCCTGCCTCGCGCCTGGATGGATGTAGCATCGGGTTCAGGGTTTAGGGTTCAGGGTTTAGGGTTTAGAGTTTAGGGTTTAGGGACGAGTGGGGAAAAACAACCGAGGCCTGTGGTTGCACTGCCTGCTCCAGATGAGTGGCTGGTTTCCTGCAGCAAGGACAGCCTGCAGACTCTCTGTTCCTGCCCTGTGCCTGAGTGGATAAGGTGACTTTTGAGTCGACTCAAAAGTCAACTCTCTGTTCTTGCCCTGTGTGTGAGTGGATAAGGTGACTTTTGAGTCGACTCAAAAGTCAACTCTCTGTTCTTGCCCTGTGCCTGAGTGGATAAGGTGACTTTTGAGTCGACTCAAAAGTCAACTCTCTGTTCTTGCCCTGTGTGTGAGTGGATAAGGTGACTTTTGAGTCGACTCAAAAGTCAACTCTCTGTTCTTGCCCTGTGTGTGAGTGGATAAGGTGACTTTTGAGTCGACTCAAAAGTCAACTCTCTGTTCTTGCCCTGTGTGTGAGTGGATAAGGTGACTTTTGAGTCGACTCAAAAGTCAACTCTCTGTTCTTGCCCTGTGTGTGAGTGGATAAGGTGACTTTTTGAGTCGACTCAAAAGTCAACTCTCTGTTCTTGCCCTGTGTGTGAGTGGATAAGGTGACTTTTTGAGTCGACTCAAAAGTCAACTCTCTGTTCTTGCCCTGTGTGTGAGTGGATAAGGTGACTTTTGAGTCGACTCAAAAGTCAACTCTCTGTTCTTGCCCTGTGTGTGAGTGGATAAGGTGACTTTTGAGTCGACTCAAAAGTCAACTCTCTGTTCTTGCCCTGTGTGTGAGTGGATAAGGTGACTTTTGAGTCGACTCAAAAGTCAACTCTCTGTTCTTGCCCTGTGTGTGAGTGGATAAGGTGACTTTTTGAGTCGACTCAAAAGTCAACTCTCTGTTCTTGCCCTGTGTGTGAGTGGATAAGGTGACTTTTTGAGTCGACTCAAAAGTCAACTCTCTGTTCTTGCCCTGTGTGTGAGTGGATAAGGTGACTTTTGAGTCGACTCAAAAGTCAACTCTCTGTTCTTGCCCTGTGTGTGAGTGGATAAGGTGACTTTTGAGTCGACTCAAAAGTCAACTCTCTGTTCTTGCCCTGTGTGTGAGTGGATAAGGTGACTTTTGAGTCGACTCAAAAGTCAACTCTCTGTTCTTGCCCTGTGTGTGAGTGGATAAGGTGACTTTTTGAGTCGACTCAAAAGTCAACTCTCTGTTCTTGCCCTGTGTGTGAGTGGATAAGGTGACTTTTGAGTCGACTCAAAAGTCAACTCTCTGTTCTTGCCCTGTGTGTGAGTGGATAAGGTGACTTTTGAGTCGACTCAAAAGTCAACTCTCTGTTCTTGCCCTGTGTGTGAGTGGATAAGGTGACTTTTGAGTCGACTCAAAAGTCAACTCTCTGTTCTTGCCCTGTGTGTGAGTGGATAAGGTGACTTTTGAGTCGACTCAAAAGTCAACTCTCTGTTCTTGCCCTGTGTGTGAGTGGATAAGGTGACTTTTGAGTCGACTCAAAAGTCAACTCTCTGTTCTTGCCCTGTGTGTGAGTGGATAAGGTGACTTTTGAGTCGACTCAAAAGTCAACTCTCTGTTCTTGCCCTGTGTGTGAGTGGATAAGGTGACTTTTGAGTCGACTCAAAAGTCAACTCTCTGTTCTTGCCCTGTGTGTGAGTGGATAAGGTGACTTTTGAGTCGACTCAAAAGTCAACTCTCTGTTCTTGCCCTGTGTGTGAGTGGATAAGGTGACTTTTGAGTCGACTCAAAAGTCAACTCTCTGTTCTTGCCCTGTGTGTGAGTGGATAAGGTGACTTTTGAGTCGACTCAAAAGTCAACTCTCTGTTCTTGCCCTGTGTGTGAGTGGATAAGGTGACTTTTGAGTCGACTCAAAAGTCAACTCTCTGTTCTTGCCCTGTGTGTGAGTGGATAAGGTGACTTTTGAGTCGACTCAAAAGTCAACTCTCTGTTCTTGCCCTGTGTGTGAGTGGATAAGGTGACTTTTGAGTCGACTCAAAAGTCAACTCTCTGTTCTTGCCCTGTGTGTGAGTGGATAAGGTGACTTTTGAGTCGACTCAAAAGTCAACTCTCTGTTCTTGCCCTGTGTGTGAGTGGATAAGGTGACTTTTGAGTCGACTCAAAAGTCAACTCTCTGTTCTTGCCCTGTGTGTGAGTGGATAAGGTGACTTTTGAGTCGACTCAAAAGTCAACTCTCTGTTCTTGCCCTGTGTGTGAGTGGATAAGGTGACTTTTGAGTCGACTCAAAAGTCAACTCTCTGTTCTTGCCCTGTGTGTGAGTGGATAAGGTGACTTTTGAGTCGACTCAAAAGTCAACTCTCTGTTCTTGCCCTGTGTGTGAGTGGATAAGGTGACTTTTGAGTCGACTCAAAAGTCAACTCTCTGTTCTTGCCCTGTGTGTGAGTGGATAA